AGCTACACAGTAACAGAGCTAAGAATAAGACCACAGATACATTCATATCACTATGTTTTGCACAGTGTAAAACAGCTTTCAGTATGTTCTTTCGTTATTGCAGCAGATGAAGATAAATCCTTTGTCATTATCTTCATCCCTTAATCACTGAAATACTTGTTAGCACACTGTTATTTTCAGCTAATGCTCTGTAGGACAGAACAGCATTAATACTTTGGAAGAAAAAGAAGGTGGCATCTTAGGTGATATATGTTTGTAAATTCACTTCTGGATGATTACTAAGTTTCTAATATATGCATAAATAGAAAAATACCTCTTGACACATATTAAATTTATTAATTGGATGAGTAAAAATTAGCATGTTGTATATACTTTTGAAAGCTCACAAATATGCTTTAGGTATGCAGACAGTAGATTAAAGTGATTCAGTGATTTATGTATATGATATGAGGTCACCTGAATATATTATAGCAAAAGATCTCACAATATTTGATGTATGCCCACTGAGTTTTAATTTGATAAGGAAAAAACACTATGAAATTTTAGAAGCAGTGACATTTCTGTATTTATATTTAAAGAACATTTCTTGCTATTTTCTTATACCTGTTTGAAAGTTGCTAATGAGCTAAAATTTCATTTTACTTTTTAAAAAATTGATTAAGTGGTAAAAATGGATTTATACCACATCACCCGCACAAGGATGGCTATTATCGGGAAAATGGAAGATACTAAGTATTGGTGAGGATGTGGAGAAATTGGAACCCTCGTCCATTGCTGGTGGGATTGTAAAATGGTACAACAGCTGTGGAAAACAGTTTGGCAGGTCCTCAAAAAGTTAAACATAGAATTACTATATATGACCCACCAATTCCATTCCTGGGTATATACCCAAAAGAATTGAAAAGCAGGGACTCAAATAGATACTTGTACACCAATGTTCATTGCAGCATTATTCACAATAGCCAACAGGCAAAAACAACTCAAGTGTCTATCAACAGATGAATGGTTAAAAAAATGTGGTATATACATACAATGGAATATTACTCAGTCATAAAGAGAAATGAAGTCCTGGTACATGGATGAACTTTGAAAACATTATGATAAGTGAGATAAGTCAGACACAAAAAGACAAATTCTATATGGCCCCACTTATACGAAATATCTAGAATAGGCAAATGCACAAAGACAAAAGTTTATTAATGGTTACCAGGGGCTGGGGGAGGAGGAAAATTGAAGTTATTACTTAAGGGGTACTGAATTTCTGTTTAGAGAAATAAAAAACATTGAAAATGGACAGTGTTGATGGTTGCCCAACATGGCGAATGTGATTAATGTCACTGAATTGTACACACAAAGATGGTTAAAATGGCAAATGTTCTGTTATATATATTTTACCACAATAAAAAAATGGATTCAGTATGTATGCTATAATTTAATAAGCTTTACATTTAAGAAATAGATTTGGTTAGGAAACAGTGAGTTTCTGTTTATGTTGATGGAAAATTTGGCAACAATTATGGTGATGGTTGCACAACTACTGTAACTGATATCACTAAATTGTACATGCGAAAAATACTGACTTGGCAAATGTGTTACATATATATATCTTTAAAACAATAAAAAAATTTTAATTGATTAGATAAGCCTGTAAGAGACCTACACAATCACAGTAATGTCCCCACCCCACCCCCCAAAAGGGAGAAAGTTCTGAAACTCTTAGCTTCTTCTGGAAGAATTTACTATTTTATATCATCAACTATATATTAATTTACAGAAAGAATACATGAAATGATAGAATATTAATTAAAAGAATAGAGTAGTAAGAAAAATGGATAGAGTGTTGAATTTCTCCTTCCAAATAAAATGACGGTCGTATTTTATAAAAAAATTGTGTCTAAGAAATTTTACTTGAAAATAGAGCAGCATGCTCTGTTGAGTTGGGTCTAGCCTCAGGGACCAGATTCTTGCCAGAGGACAGAGTTGGATGAGAGGTCAGCTGAGTGGACCATGGGTGGCCGAGCATCCTTTCAAGGCTGGCTGTGTTCATGGCTAGTCTCTCAAAATGGTACACAGAGGATCTATAGCACAAAGCAACCAATCCTTCTAGCAGGACCTTCTCATCATGCCCTGTGACCCTGCTGACATCAGTCATCCCAAAAAGCTCGAGATTCCCAGGCCATCCCTCATGATCTGCACTCTCAACCCCACAAGGGCTGGGTACACTCCTCAATCTGACCTTGGGCCTCCAACCTATCTGCAACTTGAGAAGTCCTTCCACTGTGTCCTTTAAGAACTTATGGTCTAGCATCCAAAAAGGCTCTTCTATTCTCAACCCATTCTGTGACCAATCCTTCACCTTGCCCTAATCCAGTGGTTCTCAGCCCGGGCTGCACTTCAAAATCACTGGGGAGCTTTTAAAAATCTCCAGGGCCAGGCCTCACCTCACACCACAATCTCAGAATTTTTCAAGCTCTCCCAGATGGTTCCATTGTGCAGCCAAACTTGAGAACCCCTGGTCTAACCGCTCTCCTAAGGGGACTGCTGCCCAGAGGGAATGCCCTGTGGCCCTGCTGGGACTAGAGGTGAGGAGGAGGCTTGCTCCTCACTGCCACCTCCAGAACACAAAACCTCTCTTCCCTAAACTCTCTTAGCTCGCCAAATCTCTGGCAGTGCCTCAGACACACTGGGATCTCTTTCATGCCTATTTCTGTGCGTCTGGTTTACCCTCTATGCTCAAGCACTAAATCTCTCAGCCACCGGAACAGAAAAGTTCTCTTGTTTCTTTAAAGTTTATTTCCATTTTCATTTCTCTGTCTTGCTAAGCTTAAGATATTAAGAAAATTTTTCTTCTGTAGGACCTTGAGAGAGAGAAATTAATGGTATAAATAGGTAAATTCTGAGCACATTAGTCTGAGAGCCCGAATTCATCAAATGTGGTGCTAATATAAAACTTAAAAGAGAAACCTTTGTACCCCCCAAAAATGTTTTCTTTATTAATGATAATTACACTGAAGCTCAGCGCTATCACAAATTGCCATAAGAAAGTTGGCAGGAGATCAATCCTATTAAAGGGATTTAGCTATTGAAGTACCAAATAGGTCTTTCACAGGGAACTGACCTACAGGACAAGTACAAACTCTGCAGATGGCACTCTATTCCGTTTATATGCACACAAACAGTGAGCTAATAAGTTTAACTAACTCTCACTGTAGCACTACTCCATATGAAATCGTTTATGCTAATTGTTTTTTAAGTCATTTATGCTATGAATCTGTCCTTTAAAAAAAAATGTGTCACCTCTTCTGAGCTGAACCAAAATACCATGCTCTAGTTTCTAGCCTTTCCATGGGAAAACGTGGCACACAGACCACCTGATTCTTATATATTCACTTGGTCCGCCTTGATCTTACCTTTAGTATGAAAAATAAAAAAGTTCTGTTTCTTTGAATGTGTTCCTTTTCCTAACTCCAGGGCCCCATTTGTATAACTGAATCCAGATGTTCACATCGTAGTGGTGCTTGGTCGAAGCAGGGGCCAGCTCAACTGTATTTTATGCTGAAAATCTATACCTCATCTCTCTCACGTGATAAAAGGAGAGGGATAGTTCTGGTGAATGTAGAAAGGATCTCTACATACCTTGTATACCTATCTGCAGATGCCCAAACTCATTTCTCTTACATACAGTACTTACAACCTGAAAGTACATCAATGACTGGCCACATAGTTTTTTAAATAGTGCTGCTTGTTAGGGATAAAAATGTTTTATTGTTTATTACAATCTAGTCTTGCCCATTTATCAAGTTAAATAATATGAAAATTTTAAACCCAAAAATAATCCCAAAGCTTTATTTTAATCTCCTCTCAGGGCTATTAATAAGTATCATGATTTTAATTACATCTGTTTTTCTGTTTCTCCCTCGGTCTCCAGGGGGATGGTATGACATTTCAAATCCCATTTAAAAAAATACATATATATATATATACACACACACACACATCTATATCTCATGTCCATATATACAAGAGAACATTCAAACAAATTTTTTTTGAAACAGAGGAAAAGAGGAATTCCGAGTGTTGAAACTCTCTGTAACTGCACTTGCTGTGAATTGTTAAAATGACTTCATGAGAGAGTAAACATGAAGGAATAGAAAAGCAAGGAAGGTAACAACAAACTGAAAGCATGACAATGTGAAAGCCCAAGCTAGTCTGCAGTAACCTTTTCTGTTCATGTTTAACTCTTCTAGAAGAAATCATTGGCAAACAATATGAAACTTAACTTTAATCACATAATACAGAGATGAGAAGACAGATGACAGAGGTTTGGAAAAGTTCTTACCCAATATCTTAAGGCTGGTGTATAATAATGTTTCCTAATCACTAAATCCTCAGGATAGTAATAGGTATTTTATAAATAAAGAGATAGATGGCCACTCAAGCTAGTTAACTGCCAGATTTAGTCAACTGTACCAGGTTTCGAGGTTTCGTTACTGCAGGACTTCAGAGGCTTTTTTTTTTTTAAAAAAAAAAAAACCATTGCTGTCGAGTTGATTCCTACTCATAGCGACCCTACAGGACAGAGTAAAACTGCCCCATAGGGTTTCCAAGGAGAAGCTGGGGGATTCAAACTGCCGACCTGTTGGTTAGCAGCCGAGCTCTTAACCATTATGCCACCAGGGCTCCTCAGAGCCTTTGCGTCTCCCGGGGGCGGAGGTACAGCACTGCAGCATTCTGCAAATTTATCTTACACATTGACATCTCCCAGAAGACCGTGTTCTCACAAGTAGTTTTGAAAATAGTAGAATAGATAGGTGTTCCATACAGGTGGGTTAGGTGAGATTCTTTAGGAATTTATTAGGAATTTGACATAATCGGCACAAAGATTAAATACTACTCAGAACCTCATATGTTAAATCTACGTGTCCCGCTTACAATGGAGAAAGAGAGGACAAATGGGGGATGGGATGAGAGAGGGCTTCCTGCCTGCGTTCCTTACACACCTGCTCCTGCAGTCGGAAATCCCCATAGGGTTGAGCTGGAGGCTTGGGCTGAGTGCTGGGCTCACTGTTTACACTGTGCTCGGAAACCTGCAAGACAAAAAAGCAGACTCATTCATGAACAGCGACTGGAGAAGGCCCAGACCCCCTGTCAGATCCTCCTGACACTAAGCCCCAAAGCAGGCAGGAAGCCCCTCACGCAGCTCAGATGAGGGCTGCTGATAGCAGCAGCGTGTTTCACTCTCAGGAACTGACTACTGTAATTGGCGCAGCAGCAGAAAGATAAGGATGTGGCTCACAAAAGCCCTTTCAGACAGGTCATCCATGCATTCAGTTTGGCGGCTCCCAAACCCCCGATTTGAAACCAGCAGCTGGTAGGTAAGTGCCCCCAGAATGCCCTCTCATTTTCTTGTGACAAAGTCCAGGTTTGCTGTCAGTGCAAAGTAGGAGCCTTATCTCATCTTGTTGTTGCTGCTGTCAGTCGCGGTGGAGTCTGTTCCGACTCCTGGCGACCCCATGTGTGCAGAGTAGAACTGCTCCATAGGGTTTTCAAGGCTGTGACCTTTTGAAGCAGATCACCAGGCCTGTCTTCTGAGGCGCCTCTGGGTGGGTTTGAACTTTCAACCTTCTGGCTAGTAGTCGGGTGCTTAACTGTTTGTGCCACCCAGGGACTCCATTCATCTCATCTAGAGCTTCCTTAAGGGAAGGTGGTGGAGGGCTCCATTTCCAGTGTAATGGCTCTGTGGTTGTCCTGTGTACACAGGCACGGACTACAGTGACGGGGAACAGAGAGCTGGCCCTACTAGCCATGCCACCTTGGGCAACTTGCTTCATCTCTGTACACCCTAATTTCCTCATATGTAAAAAGGGATACTATTAGTACTTGGGCCTTGTGGCACAGTAGTTAAAGCGCTCGGCTGCTCACTGAAAGGTCGGCAGTTCGAACCCACCAGTCGTTCTGAAGGAGAAAGACATGGAAGTCTGCTTCTGTAAAGATTTACAGCCTTGGAAACCCTGTGAGGCAGTTCAACTGTGTCTTATAGAGTCACCATGAGTCTGAATTGACTTGACGGCAATGGGTTTGATTTTTTTGAATACTAGTACCTACTTCACAGGGCTGTTGTGAGGATTAAATAATACACAGAAAGCATTTAGCCCAACGCCTGCTATAGTGTAGATGCTCAATAAACACAGCTAACAATTTACACGAGTAGAAATTATAGCCTAGGAAAGGCTTAGGCTGGAACTAAAGCTTGGCATTAGATATACAGAAGGGACTCAATAAACATTTGTTGACAGATTAACCAATATATTTATTTTATTGTAGCAAAATATTTATAACAGAACACTTGCCATTTTAACCATTTTTAAGTGTACCATTCAGTGTCCTTAATTATGTTCACCATACTGTGTAACTAACACCACTATCCATTTCCAAATTAACCAATATCTTTCAAAGTCGATGCCGGGATATTGAAAAAGTGGGTTCTCACTGTTTATCTGTGGGCCAGGAAGAACAGGACTCTTTATTGCCCTTCAAGCTGAAACACGAAGCCAGTACCTCATGGTATCCACACCTCAAGGCTGAGCGGACTCTACAGACCATCTAATTCTCTGAAAGGACTAACAAGCGTTAACCGTGGTTTCCGCAACTCAGCGAGGTCTGAGATATGCTCTGTGGACAGGCACACTCTGAGCCACTCAGAGCAATGAGGGAGAACCTGTGATTGTGCATAGAGAAATTTCCCCAAGGTTTTCTGCCAAGAGCCAGAGGGGGGGGGTCTTTAAAGATCAAAAGTTTCTTCAGCAGTAATTAATTAATGGAAGGGAGGCTCTGTAGCACCATATACCACCCTCCACAGCTTTGCTGCTTGCCTCTCATTTTCAACTCACAGAAAGTGTTGATGAGTAAGGCCATAGTAGCACATGTAAACACAGCAGAATTAATTTACAGGTGAAACCCAGATTTTAGTGACACATTCTCCTGCTCCCGTTGCTTCAGCATATTGTTCCGATGAGAGGACTATCCTAGAGAAAGCATCGTGGGTCAAAACCACAGCACTAACCCCACACGTTGATGACCATTTATTTTCAGTTCATGCAGAATTACCACAACTCCTAAAATGCTGATGAAAATATAGGCATACAGACTGCGCATGTAACAGAAAAACCACGTCCCCCGCCTTCACTGGAGAGACACCCCTTCTTCTACTCCTCTGTGTTCAAGCCACACTCAACACTCAAGAGCGAATAGTGAACTCGCACTAGTGAACGCGCACTCATTGGCTTAGTGGCTCACTGAGGAAACTTCCACTCTCCCACATGAGGCTGGCTGGATGATGCAACCCTTCTCTGCTATCTTCACCCAGACGTCCTTCTGTGGTGGTCAACCCCTCCGAAGACGCACAGTGGTCAGACAACTTCGCTACTACGAAACAGTCCAGAGAAATCCAATCTGTGTCCTACCTGTGACGGACAAGGTCTCGGAGGGAGCGCAGGTGGCTGGGGCAACGATCCTGACTTGGCAGCTGAAAAGAAAAACCACACGCTGTTAAGGACCACCAAAAATCAAAACAAAACAAAAAACCCTTCCACTTGTTAACTAGGAATAACAATAGCATTTAACATGTTTAAGGTTTGAAAATCCACCTGAAGGCTTAATATTAAAAAAAAAAAAAGAGTATATGCTATTTCTAACCCCTTTCTCATTTTCATATACCCAAAAACCCGAGTATTATACAGGCTGTTATGATTAAGATAGTGTAAAATGGTAAGGAAAAGACACCCTCTGATCAAAAGACTGGAACCCAGCATGGGAAAGACAGTCAACTCCTCATTATCCTGACGGTAATTATTTAGTTTCGAATAATCTTGGCCCTTTGGCTTCTCTCCATTTCTCCTGCGCTCTCAGCCATTGCACTGCTCATTAGCTCAGTGAGCAGGCTGTAGAAACTAAGGAAGCCGGAACCCAAATGCAGCAGCTCTGCCATCCTGTGACGCCCTGTGCAAGGGTCTGGCAGCAGTGGGGGAGGCTGAAACTGAGAGGCAAAAATGATAGGCAGGGAGTCTTCAAGGATCTCAATTTCCTTTCCTCTCTCAGATCCCTGTTATCAGGGATAATTACATCGGTTGCTAAAAATATCTGGCCCTATTTAAAAGATGCTTTTGAAAGAAAGTTTCAGTCTAATTTTTTTTAATTTCATGAGCTACAAAGGAAATTTGAACTAAGCCAAGAATGCCTGAATTGTAACTTAACAATGAAAATAAACAGATGTTATGAAATCATAAATAAAGCTAATAATCACATGTAAGAAATAAGTTTAGCATCACAAACTGGCAAGATGAACCACAGTCTTTACAAACTCTTTAGAAAAACACATCATGCTTTACATAACTACATGTAGTTTATTTGCAAATCTGTAATACATGTGCTAATATCTGGATGATTTTCTGGGCCTTAAAACTAGCAATGTACCAAGAATACAAAAGATTTTGCAAATCACTTTTAATTAGCCCTAGCTGGATCAGACAAGCTAGAAAATGGTATCCAGAGCTTCCCACAAACGTAACTCGGAGTAATGCAACGTAAGTTTTCATCCTGAGCCAGTGCGTAGATACGGTACAACCATGTGGGCCCATCTATGATTTCTCTCAATCTGTCTTTCATTAAAATTTATAAAATACACCAGTAAGTCAAAACTGCAGAGGTGGTGAGGCCCTGAACAGCCATCGATAACAAAGCATGGAGCAGGAGAGAATGTCAAACGCTTTCAAGAACTGCCCATCTCAAACCCAAGAGTATGGCCCCCAGACACCCTTTTAGCTCAGTGGTAAAGTTACTTCCGAGGTTCACCGTTCAGCCGGGGACTGGACAGCCCCATAAAACAAAACGGGACTAATGAGGCACAGCAGTCCAGGGACAAGGACCAGAAGGCAGAAGGGGACAGGAAAGCTGGTGATAGGGAACCCAAGGTTGAGTAAGGACAGTGTTGACATGTAGTGGGGTTCTTAACCATTGTCATAGGGCAATATGTGTACTAACTGTTTAATGAGCAACTATTTGTTGTGTAAACCTTCATCTAAAGTGAGAATAGCAGCACAACTGGAAGAACATAATCGATGTCACTGAATTGTGCATGTAGAAATTTTTGAAATGGTATATCTTTGACTATGTATATTTTCACCAAAAAAAAAAAAAAGGTCAAGAAAGGAGAGGGTTGACATGTCCTGGGGTTGTTAACCAATGTCATAAAACAATATGTGTACTGACTGTTTAATGAGAAAGTATTTGTTTTGTAAACCTTCATCTAAAGTACAATAAAAAAAAAAAAGAATTGCCCATCTCATGGTCCCTACTCTATAGCGCCTCATAGACTGGGCCTTTAAATTACCAGTTACTTTAAAACAAAATGAAACAAACAGAAATCTATGCAGGTTTCCAAGAGAAAGGACAAGCAATTGCACCAGAATACAGTTTGTGTTAAAAAAAAAAACCTCTCTTCACAAAAGAGGAGTACACAAGAAATGACAAGCCATTTAATTTACAAAATTGTTGACTTCTGCTTCCAGCCAAGATAGGGTGGTAGAGATCAGATTTACCCTGCCATCTGAAACAACCAAAAACAAACAGAGAGACAAAATATATAAAACAACAGTTTTCAAAACACTAGAATAAAACAATAGTTTTCAAGACACCAGAAAACCAGGCAACAAAAGACAGTGATCCTGAGAGAAAGGAAACAAATAAGGAGACTCGTATGATTGTCCCACCTGACTGCTTGGACAGAGTTTCTAGAAACAGGCCCTACAGCCAGATTCATGTCTGATTAACTTCTATTTTTGACGATTATTTACTTTTTAAAAACACAAATGCATTATTTCTGTAAAAGATGATATATGGGTCTGCTTTTGAAAACATTTTTGGATAAAATTATATCTAAATTATGATGGCAATGCAAAATGCTGCAACCGCTGTGGAAACAGTTTGTTCGTTACTCAAATACCCAAAAGGATTGAAAACACGGACTCAAACAAATACATGTACACCAACGTTCATAGCAGCATTGTTCGCAATATCCAAAAGGTGGGAACAACCCAAGTGTCCATTAAGAGACGATGGGATAAACAAAATGTGTCCATGCAACAGAATACTATTCAGTCATAAAATGAAATGTAGCACAGTTATCCAGCCACTAAAACTGATGTGCATATGAACATTTAATCACATGGAAAGATGTTAATAACATATATTTTAAGGAAAAAAGTCATAATATAGTATATACAATATCACAACCATTTATAATAAAAATATGGATTATATTCACCAAGATGTTGACAGTGTTTATTGCTAGATATTGGGATTATAGGTCTTTTTCCCTCTCTTCACTTGCATGTATTATGTAACATTTTCATTAAGATCCTTTATCACTTGCTAAAGTAAGCAATAAATAAAAAATTTTTCAAGTTAAAAAAAATTAAATCACCTACAAATACTAACTACAGTTTTGTTTCTTCGGTTTTTTTTTTTTTTTTTTTTTGGCCTTACTTACCTGGCTAGAACATCTACTGTAATGTTGAATAAAAATGGTGAGAATGGGTATGCTTGCTTTCTCTTATCTCAAATGGAAAGCTCTTAATATTTCACCATTAAGTGTAGTGTTTGCTATAGGTTTGTTAGGTAACCTTTAATAGGTTAAGAAAGATTTCATCTATTCTTATTTTGAGATTTTTTCATGATAATTTGTTGTTGAATTTTAACCAAACCTGCATCTCCATCCATTGAGATGATGGTATATTTTTTTTCCTTTTGATTTGCTAATGTGGAAAATTATATTATGGCCTTTCTAATATTAAAACACCCTTACAGACCTAGGATAATTCCAGCTTGGTCAGGTTTTTAAATCTGCTAGATTTAGTTGGCTAGTACTTTGAGATTTTTATAACTATATTCATGAGTAAAACTGGCAAGTGATTTTCATTTCTCATATGGTTCTTTGTTATGTTACTCTTCTAGAGAGTATTCCCTCTACCTATATTCTGGAATAGATTGTATAAAATCAGAAATATCTTTTTCCTGAATATCAGGTTAACCTTATCAGTAAAGCCATCTGGGTCTGGAGTTTTCTTTGAAATAAGATTTTTGATCAATGATTCCATTTCATTAATTGTTTCAGGACTGTTCAGACTTTCTAATTCTTAAGTCAGTTCTGATAAACAGTATTTTTCTAGACATTTGTTCATTTCATGTAAATTTTTCAATTTATTGGCATATGGGTGTTAAGACCCCCCTTTTCCTCTCTGCTCCCAGAATGCTGCATCCAGAGATTAGAAGAATCTGTTCCAGGAAAACAGAACAGACAAGAAGAAAGATCTAAAGATACTGGACATCAAGAGATCTCTAACAGGATCACCCATCCAGATCATTATACATTAAGTCTTTAGTTGGCAAGATTTTTTCAGATCTTCCAATCAGCTTATATTCTTAAATGTAAACAGATGATTAAGTATTACCAGATATGTGCAGACAAATTCTACCCTAAGGTGGACACCAATAAAAATAGAAAGAAAAAAATAACCTCAAAGAAACAGACTAAACATACTAAGAGAAAACTTAAAAATGTATATTATTAATATCCTCAGAAGATTATTTGTTCAGATTATTATAGAAGTATTTAAACACTTACTATGTCCCAGATACTGTTTGAGGCGCTGGGGAAATATCAGTGAACAAAATATGAAAAAACCTCTACCTACCCAGGACAATGGAAGAAAACACACCCATGTCAAGGCACATCATCATGAAATTTCAAAATACTGGCATTAGAAGATTCTACAAATTCCCAGCAGAGGGTGCAAGAGGAAGAAAGACCACATACAAAGGATCAAGAGTTCAGATGGAAAGGTCATGGAGGCCCCATGGACACATCCAAACTCCCCGAGGGACTGAGTTGCTGGACGGAGGGCTCTGGGGACCATGGTCTCAGGGAACATCTAGCTCAATTGGCATGACACTACTTATAAAGATAATGCTCTACATTCTACCTTGGTGAGTAGTGTCTGGGGTCTTAAAAGCCTGTGAG